CATTTCAATTCATTTCAAATTTTCAATAACTTTACTTCTAACTTAACGGTTAAACAATTAAAAATAGTGTACAGTAGTTTACAAGAATATCCAAACGTAGTTTCGAAATATATTCTTAAGGAAATCTTCATACGAAAATTGAGCGAAAACCATATAAATACGATACTATCGACGATATATCGATAGTTTTGAAAATAATATCGAAAACTATCGATGGTCTGACTATCGATAGTTTTGCACCTCTAATAATTAGGCGAAATTCAACTAGTGGCCGACCAGCTTCTAATAAAAATGTTGCTAATTCCACGCGGAACATGTGGTATGAAACGTACAACAGTGTTGCCGGAAATTCGTTAGTGATATTAAACTCCAACATTTAATAATTGGCAAACTGGGCATTTGTGTACGCATGGCAAACTTTTATTTATAAAAAGACGTTTATTTAATTTAATTAATCCTTCAGCTACTCGCGTTCATCTGATTAGTTCCGAAATAAATTACCGCCTAGTAAGTAAATATGGCAACCAAAGGCATCAATGCCAGGATGCGCTCAGGTGGCAACGTTGGTAAAAGCGGTAAATTTGACAAACTTGGAAGTTCCGGCGTCGGTTTGGTTTTTCGCAAAAGTTGATAAAATTACTAATGTGTTTCAATGTGTCAAAAATTAATACAATTACAGTGTAATAGGTGCAAAGGGAGCTGAAATATTATAAATAAATGTACCGCATTTGCCTACCCCAACTGGTGCTAACTTCCTGTCCTGAGTTCATAGAACTCGGAAATGCACAACCAATTAGGTGTAATTTAATTTGATAAAAATGATGACGTGATGCAAAATAAATGCATTGAGAGCATTGAAGGTAATTATGTGCGAAGTTTCAAGAAAATGTAATGTAAAAGAAGCGCAAAATGCAGCAAATATGTATTCTACATTTGTGCTTAAGGGCGCTAATATGTATGTATGTAAATGTGAGTATGTAAAAGCAATTTAAAGAATGTAGGAAGCGGAAGTGTGTTAACAAACTTCCTTCCATGGATAAGTGATGCTCATAAAAGTGTTTTTGTAACCTTGGATCCGCATTCTTTTGAGGTTATGTTGTTGCGGCGGGCTTTCAAAGAAGATGGATGGATTAAGGATTTATGGGCATGTATTGAAAAGCCAATGCAGGTAAAATCGAAATGAGGTAAGTCAAATATAATACTACTAATACTAAAGTGTCTATGCTCTTGTAGTGTATGTATCAGGAGCTGTGGGCAGAAAAACTATCAAATTGGCGGGTTTAAAGAGTGCCTTTAAAACAAATCAAATTAAATATGTATGTATCAGTTATAGGCGGCACACACCGTGGATGTGTTTGTGAAAATAAATATGTGTTAGTTGCACCAACATGACTTCCGGCATGACTCTGAATGATTCAACTGTGTGTAGTCGAAGGCGCCCTGCAAAAAGTGGGACTAGGTTAAGTACTAGTACAGGACCACACTAACTTGTAACCAACACTAGTAACCAAAATGGTCCAAATATATGTCAAAAATATGGTTACATTAACATTGCGATGTCATTGGACCTGACTACCTCTGGTCTAATGCTGCATAACATGGGACCACTTCTGGTCCACCACTGCATAACATGGGTCCACCTAGACAACTACTCCTTTTGAAGCATGGCACATTCGGCAACCGAATCATATTGACGATCGGCCACGAAGAGGTGGTGTCCAACACATATATCAGTTTTTTACGTTTGAAGTGGTCCAGGTCAGCATAACAAGTTACTAGTATGCAACCTGGTCCTTTTGCTCATACTTTAAAACTACGACCCAGTGGACCACCTGGCCCTCAAATTTTTGCAGGGCGAGTCAACACGTACACAATAGCGTGGGCCGAAAATCCGCTTTTTTAGAATTTTGATTGGTAATAGCAAAAATATGGTTCACTAGCAATTACCCGGCGTGCTTCGCTGCGCCTTAAATGTATTTTTGTGTTGTAACTCTCCCCCTAAGCTCTTATGGCCTCATTTACAAAATATTTTTAAAGAACTTTATGAAGTTAGATTTAAAAAAATCGATCTATGAAGCATTGTTTATTTTTTTTTTGAGTTAATATATTTTCGAAGGTAATTAGAAAATATGTAAAGAACCGACTTTCTCTTGGAAATTTAATTTATAATCTTATAACTGGAGTCTACTATCGCACCCTTTCCTCAAACGTGTATTGATTCAATATTCAAATAACGTATATTTATATAATTTGAAAAAATCTCCCTACTATACAAATATGTACAGCAATATTAAATAATATTTTCAAATGTTGTGAGAGGGAGTAACAAAACAAAATTACTTTTAAGGCGCAGCGAAGCACGCCGGGTATTCGCTAGTGTCACATGAAATTAACTGAGCAAAGTACAATGAATAGCTGTTAAACAATGGCACCATCTACTTTAAATGAAACATACTTATTTTCGTGGGGGATACTCACACACCATATACTTTTCTATTGAAATTTTTCCTGAATTTTCCTAGCTATAAACCTCCAACGAATGCAAAACCGTGAAAATCGGTTCGTGCGTTCTGGAGTTATAGCGTCAGGAAGGAAAACCCTACTTATTTTTATATTAATTTTTATATTAAAGAAGATTAAAGAACTGTCCGCATTACTCAATTTTATTTTTCACTAAAACGGTATTCATGAATTTTTTAATTTTTTTTTTATTTGCTTCCGCATACTTTTGACATAACAGCTTTCATTTTATGCCGATATTAAACAAATACAGCCTAAGTTTACCCGGGTCCACGTTTTGGTCTGTATCTCGTGACCCAAGTCACCCAGCTATATGAAAAGTGCTCAATCTTAAAGCATTCATGAA